CATCATCTATACTGCTTATCCTAACGAGGGCCGCGGTGGGGTGGGGACGCTGGAGGCAGTCCCAGATGACATTGGGCAAGAGGCGGGGTACGCCCTGGATAGATCAGCAGTCTATCACTTAAAGACAGAAAACCACACACACCCACCGGTAATTTAGAGTCTCCAATCAACCTAAGCTGAATGTCTTTGGACCGTGGGAGGAAGCCGGAGAAAACCCACATATGCACAGGGAAACTCCACACAGAAGGGCACTGGGCTCGAACCTGGAGCTTTTGGGCTGTGAGGCAACAGTGCTAATCACCGTTCCACCACCACACATAGAATTAATTCAGCTAATTCAAATGGAACTATGTGCCACATGTTACTACTTTCATGTTAACAAACCACCACAACTACTTCATTAATCAGTTAGTGAATCATTAACAGATTAATTTACATAATTTTGGTAACTGATTAATGTCTTAAGTAATTTTTCAAGCAAAAAGGCCAAACTTCTCAAGTGTGAGGACATTCTGCTAGTAGTGGCCCTCAGTCCTAGTCCACCAGCCATCCAGTCAAAGGCTGATATGCACTTTGGCTGGCAGGTATGCAGTAAAGCGACAAGTTGAACAGAACACCAAAGGTACTCTTATGTTGAATATCAGGAATAACATCAGCAGCTGGACAATGGGAGCCTGAGGTACTGAAGTAACAGAATGCCCAGGATCTAAATAACAAGGACCAGCTACAACTGCAGAGAACACACACACAACTCAGCATCAGCAAGGCCAGCATTAGAGATTAATGGCTTGCCTTATCAGTTATATGCATTAGCTCATTCAAGATAATTAAACCTTCTTTCTATTAGTCTTTTCTCTTATTTTCATTCTCACCTTTCAGTTGTCTCACTGCTGTAAAAGATCTTTTGTATTGTGTTGTAGATTTGTGTCTGTGAATGTGTTTCTGTGTGTGTTGTCTCCGCTGACGCTCTGTGAAATTGCTTCTGCACAGGTTCCTAGTGGTCTCTTAAACTGGGTGGAATTTGTGATAATAGCTGGTAAATCGACAATCAGTGCCATATGAGGGATATGTCAGTGCTTACTAATATCCTACTGACTGACACAAATTGGCAATTTTACACCATCTATAGTTCAAAGGGTCCAGAACTCCTGTACATCCTGCAGAAGAAGAAATGTTGCTTTCTAAACTCTGATGCAACGCTAAGCAACACTCAAGCAGCATATGGGAGGGAAAACCTTTTACGTATTGCAGCTGATGCTCATTCTATATGTTGCAAAAGTCATCTGTTAGCAGTATCTTGCCCTGATTCTGTTTTTTCTTTCACTGACAACAGGTCAATCAGTTAGATTAGATTAGATTCAACTTTATTGTCATTACCCATGTACAAGTACAAGGCAACGAAATGCAGTTTAGCATCCGACCAGAAGTGCAATAACAGCAGTGCAGAGTGCACAGTATCTACAGTCTGTACAGTCAGAACTAATTTACCGATGGATATGTACAACTGATATTTACAGTAAGATATGTAGGTAATGTACGATGTACAACAGACTATGAATTAAAATTACAAGTAATGGACAGGGTACATTAAGCTTATGGAACACTAGTGCAATGGGATGAGATGGAATGAAATAGTGCAGAATAAGAAGACAATAAATTACACGAGTGAACAGCGGGAGAAGTTCACCAGGACGGCTGAAGATCAGTTATGATTAAAGGTGCCATCACACAATATGAGAAGGGCCAGCGCTACAGCTTTTCACTTCAAACCAACCAAACTATTCTAAGTAGTTTTTAGTATTGGTACCACTCAGCACAGCATTCTCATCAGTTTCACAGGTTTCATTATTTGTTTACTGTGTCATTACCTCAAAATTGATCACCAGTTTTAGCGTGATGTTGTATTAAGAGCATTCACCACACACCTCATTGTTTCTCCATTTAATAACTAAAGGACTCTGCCCACTGAACAAAGTAACTCATAGTCTCTGACTGTCCATTAGAGTCAGTATGGCAAAGCATGACAACATGCACAAGTGAAACGTTGGACAACAAGTAAACCACGTCCATATCAGGTATATAATTTTAGTCTTCAATGAGAATTTATATGGATTATGTGTCATTGTAGTTTATATTAATATATTATATTAAATATGAAAATACCAATTTTTCTCCCATCCTCTTAGAATAAGGTGAAGTAGAAAAGGTCAAGCTTCTTATTTTTTGCTTATTCCACCTCTCAGTCGCCCAGCACAGGACGGTACTGATGGGATATAGTGTAGTCAGAATGATATATGGGCATTTTAAGGAATGGTGCTGAGTGTACTCTTAGCTTCAACCAGAGCAGCATTTTAACCATATCATCTTGTCAGAAGGCTGAACAAACAAGCACAGAATCAGCTGAGTCTCACTTGCTATTGGCTTCATTTTTATCACATCTTGGGACAAATCAGGTTATCTTTTTCTGTGACACAACACTCAGTCACTTCCTAACTCTTTATTGTCAAGCTGTGAATTTTCCAAAACTGACAGCCCCACTGTATTTTTTTAAAACATCATCATGCAGGTACGATGCTGCTGTTTAAGATTCAGCTCCATACTTACTGGTCAAAAGCCTCCAGGGTTGAACATCACAGCTGCAATAATCCATCAGGCTTTAGTGTACATGAAAGACCCAGTTCACTTGAAATGGGAAACATGAGATTAACATAAAAATTAAAGATATTGCCATCATGATTCCAGTGTACTTTCCTCTGTGTTTTTCAACTTATTTAATACAAGTTGCAATAAAATCTCAAATGTAGCATGGAATCAATCATGTGCAACAGAATAAAATAATACTATACAATAATATACAATAAAACATGCCTACATGTATACAAATAACAATGCTATATAATACTATCACCACAGTAATGTACGTCAACATGATTTATACTCAAAATAGATAAACTAGATAAATGGGCACAGACCTTATCCTAGTGTGCACAGATCTGATTGCTGAGAAGCTAGCCCTTCTCACTAAAAGGCTGATGGTGCCATTTATTTTTATTTGTATTGTATGTATCATTATACTACATGAGGAAATCCCAAGAGGGTTCATTGTTTTAAATATATGTTTATGCCTTTCTATATTTTTTATGTCCTCTTGTTGGTGGAAGAACTGTGCTGATCTGAAATGCTAAAAAATGCTAATTTTATCAGAAAACAACCATTGGATGAGTTACTGCATAATTTAATAACATTAAGGACTATTACACCTTGTTGTTTGATTAGATTATGCTGAGAAATAAAGAGAAAGTCACAGTCTAAGATATGTTTGTCCAGTGTTGTTGTATGTGAATGCAGTGCTAACTAGCAAGCTATGGTCATTTCCACACCGCCTAATATCACATTGAGAGGTGATCCAGGTGGTGGGTGAATTATTATTACAGTGTAAACATTTTATCCATGTGAGAGGTTTAATATCTTATGTACACAGAGAGATTAGAGCAGCACAGATATAGTGAGCCAGCTGGCAAGCCCGATTCACTGTTGACCTGTTAGATTAATAGCAAATGTTGTGCTGGTTAATGTGGTGGTAGCGATGTTGGTCATGTCAAACATACAAATGTGGTGTGGAATTACTATAGTGGTTTGAGGGATTGCAACTGATGTAAGGGTTGCAAACAGGAATCACATCTACCCTGTCTCCTCATAACCTTCCACTTCATTTCTCACTCTTAATGCAGCCCCCTCTCATCTTTCTCTTCTTGTCATCTGGCCTCTCGTTCTTCGATAAAAATTCAGTAGATGGATGATTTTTCTGGTTCTTCCAGTGACACGGGCTTCTTATTGAATGGCACACATTGCTATGATTCATACAAAATGAAGCACACCCAGTGCTGACATGTGGACAGTGAGAATGTCCATCATCACTTTGTACTGTGACACTGCATTGTCTAAAGGAAAAGGTTGGCCTAAATAGGTCAAACCAGAAAGATCACGTCTTTGTGTCCCACATCTCTCTATTTCTCTCTGTTTCTTTTTTTTAAGCTTTGGATTTGTCTTGGATTTACAGAGACACTAAAGCCTTGACTGTGACATTATTAGAGGACTGCTGGAGCTAAATGATACACTTGTGTCAAGCAGGTCTTAGATTTACTTCCTGAGAGCAAATTGCAAAGCCGCATCCTTTCGACTGTTTTTTGTGATAGATAAAAGCATTTGAGGACATTTGTGGGGTTTCTGAAGACAAATTTACTTCCCACTTTACTCCTTCCCTTCAATGTTTTGGACTAATCTGCCAACAAATAACAATAAAAATAATAGATATATCTACGTTTACTCCAAACTGCCAGCTCCTTCACAGTGAAAGCCTCCAAGCTTTGCCAAAATTAGTACACTACTTTTATGCAATCTGTGCTGGTATTTGTTCTTTAGAAGCTTGTTTTTAGCCTGATATTGATATTAAAATGTAACCCCGGGAAACTGCACACATGAACTAAACCCATAGGCTCCTGGAATGTCATATTTGTAAGGGATCCAACAGCAGAGAGTCATTAACAAACATCAGCGTTTTGTGTGTTGCTCCTGTTTTGTGAGCAGCCAGAACCCTGAAACTCTTTGGAGCCATGTGCTGTTTTGTACTTTGAAGAAGAATCAATATATTGATCAATTCTTATTCATTGAGGAGTGGATTGTGACAGCTTGTTTTACTTAGTTTTATTGAAAATGATGGCAACGGAGATGTGTATGTGACTGAAAAGGGTCCAAACAACAACTGCGGGCATGTTGAAGAATTCAAATAAAAGATTACTCAGATAAAAACCATGATAAATTATATAGCGGTGTTGTTTGTTATGTGTAGTGTGTATAGACAGTACAGTACAGTTTAAATGTTTAGGCTCAGGCCATTTTCCATCATATATATGCAAACATGCTGTACGTTTCTGTTCCTGATGCTGACGCCACACGGGCTCACTCTCTTCTTCCTGTTCTCCTCTGTTTGTGTCTTCCAGGTATTTATGAGCAGACATTTCTTATATAACTGCAGCCAACCAATCCTGGATGTGAAGATAGCCTTTTGTCAGGTGTGTGTTCCTTACAGGTAAAAAAGGTACAGTATTCATTCACTTCCATTTCCTCTTCATTGCTCTGTATGTTGTGGTATATTGCTGTGTTTCTGAAGGGAGACAACTAAGGATTTTTTTTGTATTTTTTTGTACAACAAGCAGAGTATTGCTGTTCAATTTTTAATATATCCAAAATGGTTTCCCCTTTGATTAGGAGCTCTAGTGTAAATGTCCTTTTGACTCGTGTTGATAATTAATTTCATGGGAAGCTAAAATTATTTAAGGTAAACCTGTTTTTTTTTGTTTATCTGTAACTGAGATCTCTGCTAAAGACAAAACAGTGAAGCAGCTTCCAAACCACCTTACCTCAAGTTATAACAGTGTAAATGCAAAACTCCTGTGGGGATGTAATTTCATATGCTGTGCAGTATGTATCACAAATATGTGTGTGTTATGTGTGGCTTGCTACAGGCTACAGCTGCAGGCGTTTATTAAAAAGACTTGCATGGGATGTCTGTATTACACATGTATGTGTAGATTGATGTTTACTCTCATAGGTACCACTGGCTGCCCACTACAGTGCAACGTAATCAAATGTTTTGTCTGCCTTGTTAACTTCAAGTGGATTACATATTTATCTTATATATATATTTTTTATGTCATGTGTGTGGTTAAACACCCCTCAGTAAGAGTGGCACAGCTTTGTTTACTTTGTGAACTGTGTTGTAACTACTCAGTGTGTAATTAACTTATATTTTAGTTGTGGCACTATTTGTATGACTGTTCTGCCCAAGTAACTATAACCAGATTAGAGCATGCACATGAATAGATAAATAAATAGATCAATAACTCCAGTCTAGTTAAGACAGTAAAAACATTAGTTGCATGTAACTGTTATCACATGTCTATCACAGAGTTTACATCTCTGCATAGAAATGATGTAAACTCAACTGTACTGTGTGTCGTGTCATGTTTATGCTGCGTCCAGTTTTCCAAATTAGCCTGTAATAAAGCACAAATTCTCAAATTAAATGTAACAGTCATACAGGACATTTTAGTCTCAGTTAATAGGTTCTTGCTATTAACTCAAGTAACCAACCAATCAATCGGTATGCATTTACCTAGTGTTATTTTCAACTCCTTATCTGTATTTAATACGAGTCTATAGTGGTATTTTTCCAAACTATGAAAAGTGTGTGTTATCTTTCAAATTAAGGAAACAGATAAATCATCACTTCGTCATCACTAACAGGGTTTTTATGCTATGCTTCCTTTATGCAGGGTTTTGGAAAACAAGTGGATGTGTCATATATTGCCAAGCATTACAACATGAGCAAAAGCAAAGTGGACAACCAGTTCTACAGTGTGGAAGTGGGAGATTCTACCTTCACAGTTTTAAAACGTTACCAGAATTTAAAGCCCATTGGCTCTGGAGCTCAGGGAATTGTCTGGTAGGTACTCAGCAGTGATTTTCTGTCCTGTTTTGCATCATGTCATGCTGTTTAATGTATCTTTTATTTGGGATTGAATGTGTAGTTATCTCATTTTAGTTGTTTTTCTAATTGTATGGTGCTGTAGTTTATTACTATGAGATCATTAAAGGAGAGAGTGTTTTGCATTTTCGCAGTTGAAGTAAAGGGCTGCAAAGGTTAATTACAGAACACTATATGTTAATTCAATGATTAGTACTGTTATTATTATATACTGGTAATAGAAAAGCCATATTATCAGTTCTCCTGAAACCTCTGGCACGGTTCCATTATACCTAGCCAGTCATAACATCGGAACGCACAGCATGGAGCCATGTGACTCATCTTTGTACAAAAAGTGTGATGAACAAAATGGATCAGCTCTACCTGAAATGTTTGTGAATGAGGAAATGTTTTATTTCTTTAGTTTATTTTGGTCTGTCATGTGGATAGAATTCAGAATTTAACCTTGTGTTACCAAGCAAACACGTTTTCTGCCAGAGATAAATGTTTATCTTAATTGTGTTTGCAAGTGCAACAATAAAATAGATGTTTGAACCTATTATCAGTTAGGCCAAAATCTTGATTATAATTAAAACTTATCCAATCATAATTCAGTCATTAAGGCGAATAATGTGTGGGAAAGTACTGATTGGGTTCTAGCAGCCTCTCAAAGTATTGAAGGAGTAAAGTAAAGTAGTGTTTGTTGAAGCTGAGATATTTAAAACCCTAATAAAATCCAAAAATATATATATATAAATGATTTTTGCAATATTTTTTGTCATAAATGTAAAACATCTGACCAGTTGTGGTATTTGTTCACATCTTGTCCACTGCTATGAGCTGATAACATACAATATCAGCTGTTTAGAATATGGACAGACATGTGGGCCCTAAGGGCCTAAAAAGACAGGCACTTAAGTGAATCCTTAATCTGGATTGCAGAGAGAGCTCATATTCATTGTGATTCATCTCACGCCTTGCCCTGTCAGAATGCAGTGGAACTACTGCCAAGGCTCCTCTTGGAGGAATGCATCCTACTGGCTTTGTATGACCAAACACATCAATATTTATGTTAATGCCATGTCACTGTGTTGATACTATACCTGCCTCAGACAGTCTCCCTGGGATGACACAGGTTGACATGTTTTATTTCATTTAGTCTTATAATATATACAGTATTGTTTGCAGATTCAGTGGCTCTCAGCCCCCTGCCCATCATTCGCCCTCTTTCATTGTCCTTCATTCGCTTCCCATGCCCTCAGCTTTTTTAGCTCGAAAGCAGTTTTGCGAATTTGCAAAGGAGCTTGGGAAGGCTATAACTGCTAAGGCTGGGACTGTGCCCATTTAAAGGATATTGATGAGATGGGTGGCAGGGAGACTGTGCAAATCTAATTTAACTTGCTCTGCTGTGTACTGCTTGGCTCTGCCCATGGCTGTCATCTGGTGTTGCATGGTAGCAGTATTACCGCAACCAAACCCCAAAGTCTGATTTAATATCCTACTGATTATAGAGAGCAAATGGGACACACTAAGAAAGTAGTATCCTCTGGATTTTTACAAACACATCCACAACAAATTATGAGACTATGATGTAAATATATGCGAGAAAAATGGTTTGGCTATAATATGTTGAGCAAAATTAATACAGTTAATATCTTGTTGGGCATTAACTGCAGTATAATCCCCAAATGGACACCACAATGGCATTCACATAAACATCTGTCGCATCTAGCACATGCATTCACAACACTGACTGCAACTAAACATGCATAAAATGATGGGATCTGTCTTATGTGGTGAAGAGACTCTTGATCTCATAAAGCGTGAGAACATGGGAATGAGGTAAAACTTGTACCGCTGCTGCTGCTAAAATGCCAATGTTGTGGCCCACAAACCCAGTCTGTGCACATCTCTGCCCTCATGACTCGTGTGCCCACTTAGGATGGGCTTTCAGAAGCATCTTAGGAGGGATGAAGGCTTTGAGTAGTTTAGCCGCTCATGACATCATCTTTCACTCAGCTAGAAATGTGATGACTGGTTCGAATTCCTATTGGATCGATGCTTTTATGAAGACTCTACTGTTTCCATGGTCACACATCATCCCTGGCATGCAGTCTGCACAGAGACATGACAAACCACAAAGTATCCCACCCAGCCATCCACAAACCCACACACAGCATAATCTTGTTTAAGGCTGCAGTAAGCCTACATACCATGCCTTGAAATTTGTCAGGAAACACACAGTCTAAGATAGAGCTGAAAATGGGATATATTGTACATGGCACTTTAATAGCAGATATTTTTCATCTATGTACTGATGTTCAATGAAAACCAACATAAATGTAGTGGTTGAGATATTGTTGAGACAGTAAAGAAGTCACTTTGCTCTAATCACCAAAATGAGCTGCTTTGGCAGAGAGAAACCATCTGTATATAATTTACATTTCCCCCTCTATTGCATTACATTGTTCTGTTTTGCTTTGTTTTTAATACAGCAACAGTATTTACCCCATTATATAATTAGAATCATATTAATCAGGGTTTCATATCAATAATTAAAATTTGGAAAAAGTGGTTACAATATATATATATCATAATAGTTGTGAGATTAAATTTTGACATTTATTTATTTGCTTTCTTGCTAAGAATGACAGGAGAAGATTAATGTCACTATCATATTTATATGATGAATTTGAAGCTAAATGAAATTAAATTAGTCACGACAAACTGAATAAAAATGACCGTACATTGAAAGCTTACATGATATATTTAAAAAATATAGTCCACATTTCGACCCACCGGTCTTCTTCAAGGCAAGTAGGATAGATTAACATCTATCAGTGGCATCATCATCAGTAAATTAACACAGGTGTTTCTAAATCAACATCCTGGTCAACCATAGAGCAACCTCCACTGCGCATCGATATCACATATAGAGACATTCAAAAATATAACTCCAAAAGTTAAACATTATCAGCTATGTACAAGAAAATGTATAAATATATAAATAATATCTAAATATTATATATAAATAAGTATGCCAAATATATAAACATCTTTTTTTTTTTGGCTTATCTTAGATGTTTAGGCTAGCTTAGCCTAGCTTAGGTTAGCTTGGGAACAGTTGGCTGTGTCCAAAGGTAAAATATACAGCGTATGACTCCTGTTAAATTAGCCCAGTCAACAGTGTTAGTGTTAATATTGGATTTGATTTGGATGTAAATGCAATATAAATCTCCTCAATTAACTCTTGGCAAGAAAGTGAGTAAAATGTCAAACTCCTCCTTTAATTGTATGATTTATAAATGATTTTTCCTTTTGACAGTCAGGCTGAATATGATATTAATGATCATATAACAGAAGAAAAATGTTTTACAGATAAAATTAAAATCTATTTCTATCATTTTTGTTTGGTTAGAGATGGGAAAAATCATTCTTTTGTTTTTGTGATCATTCACTGTGGATTGTCAGAATGTCATGCAGGGATTCATCACACTATGAGTACTAAGGGAAAATTGTCCCATTGTTCCCTGTGGTTTTTCTTCTGCAGTGCGGGCTATGATGCTGTTCTGGACAGAAATGTAGCCATCAAGAAGCTGAGCAGACCCTTCCAGAACCAGACCCATGCCAAGAGGGCATACCGGGAGTTGGTGCTCATGAAATGTGTCAATCACAAAAATGTAAGTGATCCAGCTGAGGGGTAACAGAGGTGGGAAGGCATTCAGAAAAAAGGAAAATGTGTCCACTGAATAAAGAATGAAGCAGACGTTTCCCTAGTTAGTGTCTATTTTTGGTACAGCTTGGATGAATCCATCCATCCATCCATTTTCCTCCGCTTATCCGGGACCGGGTCGCGGGGGCAGCAGTCTAAGCAAAGATGCCCAGACTTCCCTCTCTCCAGACACTTCCTCCAGCTCCTCCGGGGGAATGTCGAGGCGTTCCCAGGCCAGCCGAGACACATAGTCCCTCCAGCGTGTCCTGGGTCTTCTCCGGGGCCTCCTTCCGGTGGGACATGCCCGGAACACCTCCCTAGGAAGGCGCCCAGGAGGCATCCGAAA